GGCTTCATACGGTCAGCTGAACTGACACCTTCATATCTCTCACGTGCACGATTTGACCCTGGCAGGTCCTCTACAATATAATGATCATGATCTAGAACCTCTTTAATTTGGTAAGGACCACTGAACTTCGGCAGCAACTTTTTGCTTTTACCCTCATTTGCAGAGCTTGTCCTCTTCAGAACAATTTGAATTTTTGAAGCAGCCTCCTGCCTAGATTGTGTGATGTAATTTTCAACAGCGTCCTTTGTGACAGCTGTACTGAGAAATGAATCACCCAATGCTCTTGGTTTCTATCCAAAAAGCAGTTCACTGGGACTCTTCCCAGTGGAACTGTTTACTGCAGAATTAATTCCAAAAACAATAGACTTAATTGACTCGTCCCACTTTCTTTCATCTTCGTAATATGTTGAAATGGCCTTCAACAAAGTGGTGTTATATTTTTCCACTTGCCCATTGGCACGTGGAGTAGCTGTTGCATTATATACTAGTTTGATTCCTAGCTTCTTATTCAAGCTGACAAAGGAGTTACTTGTGAAACAAGATCCTCTGTCATAAATGATGCGTCTAGGAATACCGAAAGTCGGAAAAATTGTCTCTAAAAATTTTATTACTGGTTTCGTTTTGGTACTTGAAACTGGGTTGGCATGAAGAAACTTCGTGAAAGCATCTACTGCTACTATCAAGTATGCATTTTTCCTCGTGCTCTTCACAAACGGTCCAACATGATCAATGTGAAGAGTATGCATTGGGATTGGTACCTTTTCTATTTTATGGAGAAATCCCTCTTGTTTACCTGTAGGTGCTTTGTTGTATGCACATTGTAGACAAGCAGAAATATAGCGGTCAACATATTTTTGCATTCGTGGAAACCAATACTTACTACACATGTTTTTCAGAGTTTTTTTCGGTCGCAAAATGGCCCACATTGTCATGATGGTACATTGTCACTACGCGTCTGCCCGCCTTGGGAACGTACCATCGTAAACCAGCAGATGTTTTCCGATAAAGTTTATTGTCTTTCAGCGAGTAATCTTTGTGAACCTGCTTTTCGCCACTGTTTACTGGTTTCCTCAACAATATTTCAATCAACTTCTTGCATGTGCTATCTTTCAGTTGCGCTGATAACACCCAATCATCTTGTGTGATATCTCAATGATGATGAATTGAAAAATATCAATAATTTCTGATCTTTTATAAGGTTTATCTTCTGCAATTGGGTTTCGACTCAGTGCATCAACATGTGACATTTTTGATCCTTACCGATACTCTACACTGAAATTGAATTCTTGGATGGAAAGCCACCACTGCTCACGTTCCGAGTTCGTACGAGTGATACTTTTCTTCTTCTTCCTTTGCAGTCTGTCGGCTGAAGAAAAATACTGGCTTTAGGTTGCCATCTCCCTGTTTTTGTAACAAAATTCCACCAAGCTCAATTTTCGAAACATTGGTGTGGACCTCTGTTTCTAACCCAGGATCATATAGGGCAAGTATAGGTATTTTGGTCAAAACTCCTCTAAGTTTCGCAAAAGCACTCTATGCCCCAGTCAAATTGTACATCCATTTTGGTAAGGGAGGTCAAAGGGCGGGCAATTTGTGCAAAATCTCTCACATATTAGAGAGTTATTAGAACTATTAAACACTGCCTCGCAGTATTAAGGATCTACGTTATTTTATTAGTGCATCAGCACTATTTTTCCAAGAAAAAAAAACAGTCATTGGAAGACTGTAGTAGGTGCTAGAGTGTTACCTTATTTTTTATTCTTAATTTTGACAGCTGATAGCTATATTTATAAAAGTAAAATTACGTCATCGTCGAAAAGCGAAACGTCAAAGTCGTCCAAAATGTCAGAAATTTAAAATAAGGGAAGTTTACTGCCTCGCACTAACCATACACAAATAAAGACAAGCAGTAACCTTATTAAGGGAATCCTTATTTTCGGACCCAAATGCGCATGCGTAGATGTCAAAATAAGGCTGATTTAAATACTGCTTGTCCTTATTGCACGTCCAATAACTCTCTATTACGTGAAATAGCTGCATAGACCGATGAATTGTCGAATCTGATGCACATTTTTTGGAACAGGAAATATCTCTACTGCAGAAATCTTCGAAGTATCGGGTCGAATACCGGCAACACTAATCTCATGTCCTAAATAATTAATTTGCTCCTTAAAGAAATTACATTTTGACAGTCGCAAAGTGACCCCTGTATTTCGGAAGGTTTCAAATACATCCCCAAGAGCAACCAACCCAAATGCGACACCAGGAGAAGTAACCAAGATGTCATCCATGTATGCTAAGGCAGTAGAAAATCTCATTGAGCCTAGGATCTGGTTAATCGTCCGTTGAAACACCGCTGGAGCATTTACTAATCCGAACGGAATTCTTAATTATTCGTAGTGACTATCAGGAGTTACGAATGCTGTTTTTTCTCGGGAGTTCTTTGCCATTGGTATTTGGTGGTAACCGCTCGCCATGTCCAAGTTCGTAAAATACTTGCATCCCTTTAAAATCTCTAAATGGTCATCTACTCTTGGTAAAGGATAACAGTCTTTCATTGTTTTTGCGTTAACAGCGCAGTAATCTACGCACAGTTTTCTTCTTGACCAATACAATTGGACTTGAATAAGGCGATCTGGACTCTTGTATAATATCGGCTGACAGTAGTCCATTAACTATTTATTTTGCGCACCTTCTCTCTTTCATGCATAGAAAGTCTATATGTCACAGGATTTCCACAATTTAAACGAATTTGCATTTCCGCGGATCCAATGTGACCTAGTTCTTTCCAATTTTCCGCAAAACAATCGCGATACTTTTTTAACAATAATTCAAGATTATTTAAATTGGTTCTAGATAACTTTTCTGACACACAAGTGGTTAAATCATTTAAGGAAAATGTTTCCAAATTACAAATATCTACTTTCAAACCAGGTACTTACATTTTACAATATCCTTCATGAACACACTTGGAAAGAAACGTTGTTTTACATCTGATAGATCGAAACGCATCTGTGAATGGAAAAGCGAAGAAAATTAACCCAAAATTTTCGCATCAGTGAATAATAGGAGAAAACTTGTTTTCCCTATTTTGGGTTAATAAGAACATCGCCACCGACTTGTTCTTCTGACAGCTTCACAACTAGATAAAACCAAAATGAACTATAGAAGATGCAGTTATCTGTCGGTCAACAGGGAAACAAAGTTGGCACCTGATTGGTTGTTGTTCGAAACACAACCAGAAAAAAACTTGCTGCAACAGGTTGTCAAGTAGGTATTGTTGCGCGGGAATATTGGACGAATCAATACGACAAAATTGTAACGCTTGCGGAACGATGGCGTACAATGGGAATCAAGCCTAATAATTCAAACCGACATACGTTTTGAGAAACCTCGGATAAACAAACACCACAGGATATCGCCAATCGATACCGCCATAGCGCTCAAACGAAAATATTTAAATTTCAAAGCCCAATATAAACAATAAATATAGATTTTATTGCCGAGTTTTATATGATATGGCCAATAAAACTTGAAGTCATCCATCGTTTCTATTATTTTAATTAATTTTTAAATAAACTTATCTCGATTTCATTACCCGGTTTGTATATTTTGAAGATTAACACATTTCCTCTTGGGTTCAGGAGGTATGATGATGGATATCGATATTAGAATTCTAGAAAGATCCATCAGATGAAATTGTTCTCAAAAAAAAATCTCGTGAAAAAACAGCCTGAACTTGGAAACTTAACTAATAGAGAAAAATAATATTCTTATAACATTATGCTTAAAGAGTTCAAAAAACAATTATCGATATTTCAGTTCATTCCTAATCCCATCAACCATGGGTACCCAGGTGGCCTGCTACATCTGCACGTCGAGTTTTATTAACCCTAAAAATAGTGTAGGCATGATAATAAAAACAGTTTGTTTTTCTCATACTTAACGGTTGTTTGAATGTTCCATTGTGTAAAACCTGGACTATAAGTCACAATACCAAAAGTGGACGATTTAGTTGACATGTTTTTTCATGTGTTATGAGTCACTATAGTTAATTGTTTCACACCAATTGCAAAAGGCTCCCGATGTAGCAGTAAAAGTAATTTTTCGACTTTCAAAATTATCAAGAATCGAGAGCCATTAATACTTAGTTCGTGTCTGAATGCAAAACAATTCATTCATAAATTTTAAGATTCTTTCCAGAATTGTGTCGAAAAGAACAGGATTGGATCTGAGACATTTTCAATGTTTTAAAAAGCAACTCAAATACAAAACTCTGTTGAAGATAAAGAAGCAGATCAGATTCAGTGACAATCAATCATTGAAGAACTATCAATAAAGAAAAATATCTCTCTAAGTCCATCTCTGTCCTCATTCCACATAAACCTTTTACGATCGCCGGCCAAATATAAATTCATAACAAACTATAACATCGGCTTCACGCAATAACACAAGTGTGTGTATGTTACACATAAAGCAGAACCAATGCAAAAATATTGTTTATTCTACGATAAACACCACAATATCGTACGGTTCGTGATTTGCGGGTTCTCGAACCATTATATCACATTTCCTCGGATGTGTTATGGGTTCTAGCTGGAGCCGAATGGGTTCAACAACTTTTCTATTGCCTGTTTTTATCGATCTAATGATTGTTTATGGCGGTGTTTCATGGGTGTAACATGTGAAAGGTTTGTGAGTCATATTTGATGATTTTTCACTCTCGGTTTTTGTATTTGACAATCTGGGTGAGTTTGTATCTTCATATCGTCAAATAAATTTCTTGATCATGTGTGTTGCATACATCAAAATTCACATCGAATGAGTCATGAGTATTGGATAATCTACAATACAAAACAGACTTAGTATATTCAGGAAGAAAGAGTAAGTCTATCCAATTTTTCCTTGTTTGCTTTACGTCAAAGAGACCTAGTATATCTCAACTAATTTTCTCAAGTTCTTCTTTAACCTAAGTCGCTTTTTCATCGTTGATATTATAGGAATTTGTCGCTGATGTTTTGGGATGTTGACAAGAAAATCGATGTGAGATTCTGGACATTTAGTCCTAGCCATGCTTGCTATGTATTGGATGGGAATGGGAAATGGCAAAAAGTTTGGAGGTTTATGGTAAGTTGGAGAAGGGTTTCCTCCAATTTGGAAATGAAAGTCAACAAAGGTTCACCTGGGCAAGTTTGCCTTCTGGGAGTGTCTTTATCTTGCACTGGGATTGTGAAGGACCACCACTTACTCCAGTGAAATGATACCATATTGGTATAATAATTGGCATATTATAAACTTTCAGTTATATGTCTAGTAGTACCCAAAAACAAGTAAATTTGTGCCACACTTGGTATGTCTTCGTTTGGTAAAAAACCTATTTTCATCTGCAGAGGTTGGTTCTTCTTGAATCTTCGAATCTCAAGTTGTTTTTTATATAGTCCCAGTTCGCAGCTCATTAAATTATGTGGTGACAACATCAAGGGGGAGTGCGACCCAGTCGATTAAAATCAATTTTTCTAAATTTCCAAACGAGCTCCGAAAAAAATATGACGGCGGCCTCCTTTAATTTAGTCCACGCGCAATGGATCTGTTAATTAAGAGATTTTTAATTAAAAATTGTACCTGATATACGTTTTAAATTAACGACCTTCGTCGTTCGATATACAATTAATTGGCGACCGCCCGTCAACGTGACACTGAAATTTTTAAAGCGCCGCGTTCTTTTGTTGTTTTTTTTTTTTTCGGGGGTGGCTTTCTTTCAAAGAGCGAGAAAAATGAATCTCGCTTCAATAGGGAAATGCAGCCCATGAGGTAATGTTTGTTTAAAAAATTTAGAAGTTTGATAAAATAGTTATTTATGATATAAGTGCTAAAAGTGACATTTTATTTTGTGAAAAGGGAAGTTTGGGACACGACGCCGAAGGTGGAGTGTTCTATCCCTTTGAACAAAATAAAATCACTTTTAGCACAAATATCATACACTATTTTTTCTACAAACGCACTAAAAGTGATTACTTTTAGCATTAGTGCTAAAACTAATCACTTTTAGCACCAGTGTCATAAAGATCCCGAAGTTTTTTTGCCATTCTGACACACCAACAAGTAGACGTAAAGCCAGCAGTCCCCTAATATTAAAAAAAAAAATCTGTAACTCAGTAATTAATCAATTCTATTTTTTCCTCGACTATTTAGGAGCGCCTAAAAAGCACCTAATTCTGATACAAAAGAAAATGTTGGAAAAATATTTTTTACTATAGGGGACTACTAGATTTCATAAACCTAGCAATCCCTTAGTTTTTTTTTTTGATTTTCTCAAAAACTAGAGGAGCACCTAATTTTTAATTAGTGGCCCTAATTAGCACCTAAAAGGCACCTAATTATTATATAGATCCCGAAGTTTTTTTTTGCCATTCTGACACACCAACAAGTAGACGTAAAGCCAGCAGTCCCCTAATAATTTTTAAAAAAATCTGTAACTCAGTTAGTAATTAATCAATTCTATTTTTTCTTCGACTATTTAGGAGCACCTAAAAAGCACCTAATTCTGATACAAAAGAAAATTTTGGAAAAATATTTTTTACTATAGGGGACTACTAGCTTTCATAAACCTAGCAACCCCTTAGTTTTTTTTGATTTTCTCAAAAACTAGAGGAGCACCTAATTTTTAATTAGAGGCCCTAATTAGCACCTAAAAAGCACCTAATTATTATATAGATCCCGAAGTTTTTCTGCCATTCTGACACACCAACAAGTAGACATAAAACCAGCAGTCCCCTAATAATTAAAAGAAAATCTGTAACTCAGTTAGTAATTATTAATCAATTCTATTTTTTCTTCGACTATTTAGGAGCACCTAAAAAGCACCTAATTCTGATACAAAAGAAAATTTTGGAAAAATATTTTTTACTATAGGGGCTAGTAGTCCCTGATTGTAGAAATACTGTTTGCAATACCCAAGAACTTTCTGGGAAATCCATTAGGATATTCCTAGAATATACCTATGAGATTCTCAGTACATCCTGAAAAGAATATTCCTGTTTGTTTCTAAAAATATGCTCGAAATGTATATTCTCACATTCAAAGAATGTTTCTATGACATTATAGTTATGTTCTCAAAAAAATATTATACCAATATGCTTGAAATATTCTTAGAATATATCTACATATGTCATCCTCAATATGCATTCTAGACATAACATTCTTGTTTGATTCTAAGGATATACTTGGAATGTTAATTTTCGCATCCAAATAATGCTCCTTTCAGACCTTTTATATTAAAGGCAGAGAAAGAGATGTTGGAAAACTTCTTTGGAAAACACAAGTATTTAACCAAAGCTCCGGTTTCGAGCTTGTTATGCTCTCGTCGAAGCACGCCAAATGAGAGCAGAGACATGAACTGAGAGAAACAGGTTCCAAGGTGATTCAAACGCGAGGCAAGATGTAGATCTTTAATAGCGCGTGGCTCCCTCTCTTGGAAGTTCTACAAAGCAAAAGAAAAAGAATATACCTATAATATTTTTAGTAGGTTCTAGATAGAGCATTATGGTTTAATTGTTCAATTAGGATTTTTGAATAGGTACTTTAGATAATTAGGTGAACAATATCAAATTATTCTTATCATGGTTACCTACCTACATAAACTTCCCATCACAACTTGGTAGGTATATTCTTAATACTTGATAGAGATATTAGCCGAAAGAACATTTTTTAGGGTACATTATAATAATGTTCGTATGACAATATTCAAATAATGTTATATAAAGTAGGTTCTTATAGCAAAATCTTTCAGGTAGGTGCATAGAACCAATATTCCTAGTACATAAATAGAATGTTCAAAAATGAATATTTCAATCGAAACAATCTTAGAATATTCATTAAACATTCCTAAAAGAACATTCCAAAAAGCACTTTGAGGGAATATTCTGAGAATATGAATGTTCTTTCACTGTTACGTGGGTGTTGTGGTTGTTTTCTTGGATTTAAGGCGGGCTTTTGAGACCATAGATCGAAAATTACTTCTACAAAAATTACAGTCTCTAGGCATTCAGGGCAAGGTGTATGGTTGGTTTCGCGACTACTTACATGATCGTAAACAAGTAACCAAAATTATTAACGTTTTGTCGGAGCCCCTGGCTAGTAGCTTTGGAGTTCCCTAGGGGAGTGTACTTGGGCCACTTTTATTTCTTTGCTACATTAACGATATATAGGCTGCTTCGTTTCTTGTGACTTCTTAAATCTTTTTGCTGATGACACTGTATTATATGTTTCAAGTAAAAATCTGGATGATGCAATAAATCGGATGAATAACTACCTTAATGAAACTTTGCAGTACTTTAACACAAATAAAATTAACTCAGAAAAATCAAAAGCTATGGTAATTGCAACGCCTTATAGACATAGTCATCAAATAAATATTAATTCAATGGGTTTTTATATTAATAATGGGAAAATTCAATTTATTAGAGAATTTAAGTACTTGGGTTTTATTATTGATGATACTTTGGTATTCAATGCACATTTCCAGTATATTTATACAAATATATCGAAAAAACTTTACTTCTTCTCCAGAGTATCTCAAAAATGGTCCATGTTCTCGAAAATAACAGTATACAACAGTAACATACAACCACATTTTGATTTTTGTAGTATCATACTGTATTCATTTTTTGATTTAAACAAAACAACAGCTCTCCAAAAATTGCAAAACAGAGGAATGAGAGTGATTCTGAAGTGCAGCAGGTACACTGAAATCCCAGCTGATGTTAAATAGTCTACAATGGCTTTCGGTACAAAAACGATTGTGTCGCAATAATGCGATGATCTTTATTTATAAGATATTGAATAATCTCCTTCCATCTTATTTTGAAGAATTTGTTGCATATAGGTATGATATACACAATCACTTAACTAGAAGTTATACAAATCGTAGTTTCCATGTTCCATGGTGCAACCTTTCAAGCACGAACAAAATGCTTCTTTATAAGGGAATATGCTGTTTATAATTACTTTATTTTATTTAATATTTCAATTAATAACTGTAGTGGTCTGGATTTTCAAAGAACTTCTTTTATTACGACAACTTATTACAAAAACCTTCTGCATGACATACTCAATTTTTTATATCGACATTCAGGCCTATGATGTATCATTTTATCATGTTTATTCTACACGTAAAAATAGAGACAGGTATACATTTTGAGCTGTAACACAACAGTAAAATAACAGGTGAGGATACATCATAGGCCTGATTGACTACTATTCATTGGCTTTTACCTAACACACATCCTTCAAATGCCAATACCACAGAACATATCACCTCTAGAAAAGTATCTGCAATGTTATGTACCGGTTATGAATTACAGCGCCATCGTTGACTGAAAACCCAACTAATCGAGCATTCTTGACAAAAAGGCGAATTGATTTTTTTCATATATTTTTATTATTTTTAAATAATTTTTAATGTTCAACTGCATTTGGCTTGCTGACTCCTTTTAGCTCTTTTCGCCTCATTTTTTTGAAAACTATGACTGGCAGGAAGTTTCCGATGTGGAACATAGTGCAAAAAGAGTTATGGCCGTTTCCACCAACTATTTTAGGGAAGCCTTAACGATAAGTAGACCTTAAATTGACAGTTTTCCATGGAGAAATGTCAGTTTAAGGAATAGTTATCGTTAAGGCTTCCCTAAATTAGTTGGTGGAAACGGCCATTAGTAAGTTAGCAAGAGACACGCAGCTATAGGTAGATCGCAAAGTAAATACGAATAATAAATACAAATAGGAACGAAACGAAACAAACGAGTAAATACAAAAAAATACGAACAAAAATTAGGGTTTTTTTCTACCAAAACTTTTTGAATTTTCACTTTAACGCACGTGGGGACCATGGTTTACAACAACACAATTTAAAAATTCAAATTTTGACTTTTAAAATGACAAAATAAATGACAAAACCAACCAACCAAATCACTGTCCACACCACAGATACCTGTAAATTTCTCTTATCTCCCGACAGTGTCGCCATCGTTGAATGAAAACCTAACTAAAAACCTTCGTCGCGATTCTCCCATTTGAGATATTTTTCTAGAGGTGATATGTTCTGTGGCCAATACAATGATGTCAAATCAACT